TTTTTGTGCCGACTGGGGTGTCAGTGGCGTTTCGAAGATGAGTTGTTAGCAAGCACTGTGGTATAGCAGCCGGATGCGGTGAATAGTACTTCTAAAACTATAATTTGGCAAATAAAATGGAATCTCCAATTACTGAATGAGCTAGTTGAAAACATGAAGTAAATGATTATGCTATTTGTTTATCAAAAACACGAGTGCCATGATATTCATATGAGTAAGAACGGAATTTTCCTGCATAAATTTGAACGAAAGTCTTTGATCAGCTTCGATGATATTGTTATTATACTATCACTACCCAATAAACTGTGATTTAAATCAACTACCACCGATAGCAGCATTGATAAAATTACACGATATCCGAGCTTCTTACGTTTCATACCTACAAGTTCATTGTTTGGATAAAAATATAATATAGTTGTATCTTCTTTTCTATGAATACGAAGATTAGCATGATATATTAATTCCAAAAAAGAAACTACATGTACTTTTGTCTTCTATCGATGAATTACAACTAAACAATCTTGTAAAAATGAATGCGACGAGCGACGAGCGGCGAACGGTAGGTAATATCGTGAGTTTCGAAACAAAGAAAGATTGACTTTTGAAAGATTGAATATTTTTTATACGTTATACATGTGATGAATATGACAAATTTCCATTTAATTCTACACGTAAAAATTTAAGCTCAATTGTACGTAAATTTTCTCGCGATGAATTTTATGGTTTTCCTGCATTTTTAATATAATTAGACTTGTGTAGCGTTATTTCGCTATTATAATAATTTCGCTATTTATTATAATTATAAGTAGATGATTAATGTTAATGGATTTTTTTATATCTTTTCTTTTTTCAAAGTACAATTTAACGACGAGCGCGCGAGCGAAAGTCTGCGGTTCCGTTGTGCGCGCTCGTTTGAAAGCTCGTTCCGTGCCTCGAAAACATGCTAATTATCAATTGCGAATAGATTATGACGCCGGAATCTGGAATAATTTTGAAGTGTATTATTTTGTAGAGCAAGTTTGAAATAAAAAAAAGTGCTTTTTCCGGTTTAACAAAAATATTCAACATATGAAAAGTGATGAACACGTGAAAAACTAACGATCATTTATGTAAAAATGAGCCAAATAACTAAAAGAAAATGTGTCCAGGTCAAAAAAATGTTTTCTTTTGTAATTTTTATTAAACAATTGCATTTCAAACAAAACGTATAATTTTTTTCATAAAAACGCTGGAAATATTCGGATTCAGCGGGTCAAAAGACTTAAGAATTAATCTTTTCATTCTTTATACATCTTAATACGCACGGAATCATATCTAGCTCCCGGATTAGTGAAACAAGAGTGGGCGCAACTGTACTCGAATTATCGCAGTAGCTCTCGATCTACAATCGAGGCAGGCACGAGCTATAATACTTTTAATTTGCCTGACGTAAGCTACGTTCGGCTCAGTCGATGTTATACATGTAGCGCATACTTACCAGCATGTATGTACGTAAGAAGTTAGCTAAGTTAATCTTTCATGCCAGTTGCGTTTGCGCTTGTCAATATCAAATAACAACTCTGTGTGTGTACGCGTGTGACTTCCTGTACTTGACATCTTTCCTTATCGCCGCATTCGACTTTTGCTCCCGTGCTATCTCTGTCTCTCTCTCTCTCTCTCTCTCTCTCTCTCTCTCTTTCTCTCTCTCTCTCTCTCTCTCTGTGTTTGTTTACGTTTTTATCAAAGACTCTCGCATTTCGTTGACGCAGCTTAATGAGTCACTCGGATCATTAGTGACTTATTTTCATGTTATTGATTTGACGATTGACGCCAGTGAAATTGTTCATTAAGAATTTGCATTACTTTATGTTCACGTAAACTTTGAATTTGTCTCGGTCAGCGAGTAATAAAATTATACCAAGAAACAGAAAAGGAAGAACAAGGGCGAGTTCATCAGCGCACGCCCGTTCTTATATTCAGTCTCCGTCGTCTTTCAGCGACGATTTAATCAAAAGAACAGCAGTAACGTATAAAGACCTTGGAGAGCATATAAATCTCGACGGTAGCACACAAAAAATGCTGACTGTTCCCTGACGGCAGCGTAGTCCGCTTGGGGGTCTCGCGCGAGTAGTAAAAATTTAATTTTGCAAAGAAAAAAAAACAAACATAAACAAAGAGAAAATAAAAAAAAATAACGCACGACCCATTTTCTACTGCTGCTCACGCGTGCAACGACGATACAGGCGGGATCTAGAAGCGATAACTCTCGGGCCACAACGTCGAGACAAAGGAAAGAGAGCAGAGACACTGGCGTAATACGTGTTCCTTTCTCCTTGTCGAATTTCCTTAAAATGCTCCTAGAATCTTCAACAGCGGCGCCGCCATTTCTCGATATAACTGCTGTAACTGCGGCGTGTTTTTGTATATAGAAAAATGCCAGTCGCCGCAACCGCTCATGAACTCGTCGCCGAGCTTTTCTCGCCGAGGTTACAGAAACGACGGCAGCGAGGCAGGATATGAGAAAGGGGGCAAAAGTGAGAGGGCAGAGGTGCTCCTTAATCTTGCAGATAAATCTGAATGCGCGCCACTTCTTTGCTCCCGACGATGACGAGTAGAACTGCGCCGTCGACTCCACTCCTATCTGTTCTTCTCCTGGTGTTTATATTCTTTTTCTCTATGTCCCTTTGTCCCTAACACCGACGACCAAGCCGAAAGCATTTACGTATTTCGCAACGGAGACATTGTCGTCACGGTCGGATAGTAGAAAGCGAGATCTCATTGTTCCTTGTAATCGTTCTTTTTTTATAAATCATTCTCCAGTGCAAAAACGTTACGTTTGAATTGTCGTGTATCGCAACAGAAAACTAGATGACCGTTGCGCGAATATCAACGAAGAGAAAATAAAACAAGCCGATTGATTTCACAGGCGATAAAGCTCTCGCCTCGAAAAGCGACACGTGCACACCAGACTAAACGCGAGAATGACTGAACAGCATCATCAAGTGCAGAATGTTTGGTCGTACACGGAATTTGCATAAAAAAGCTTTACGTAACGCGCGCGTGGCATTCCTTGCCAGCTATTTTCCATTCTAGATTGCACATACCGTACCAATTCATCCGCAAAAGCTCGCATAAATAAATAAGCAGATCCCCCTTGTGCACGCCAGCTTGAAACGAATGCCGCTGTTTGCCTCTTAATTCGCATTCAAAGCTGTTGCTACGTGCAGCGCGTATGCAATATGCATCGAGATTAGCTTTGGGGGCTTCATTACTGCGCGTCGCTGCAAGAGAGAAAAAGAAAAGAAAAGAAAGGAAAAAGACGCCAAAATGTCGGGCAAATTGTGTGTAGCGTGTCTGCCAAATTTGCATATTTTGTTTCTCGTGGCGGTAGAGAGAGAGAGAGAGAGAGAGAGAGAGAGAGAGAGAGAGAGAGAGAGAGAGAGAGAGAGAGAGAGAGAGAGAGAGAGAGAGACGCCGTAAAGGCCAACCACTCAGCGTCTCATTAAATAAATTAGCGCACGTACCAAGTGTATTCTCTCGGAGCTTGGCGCTACGAGAGAGGAAAACTCTCAAGCTACGGGGAAATCTGCTTTCTTGCATTTCTTTCGTTTACCGCCAACGCTATTTTTCGCGCGCTACGCCTCTCTTTCCCTTTGCGTGCTTAGGATTCAACCCGAGAATAGTCGCTGTTTCTGTTGATTTATTTCGCTCTGCATTGTTCGCCGAGCGCGTGTATAATTCGTCTTCATTCCGTAGTCTACATTAGGAGAAAGCTGGCAAATTATTTCATCCATCTCTCGTGCCTAAAAGAAAAATCATTCTATATATTTATTTATTTTTCATTAAAAAATGACGCAGTCGTAAAGTTCCACGATGATACATTTCCGAGCGATAAAAATTACGTGTAACGGAAAAACAACTTTACAGCCTACAGAAGGGCCGTAAGCCGATATAGACGCGGAAAAAGTTATTTGAGCTTTTTCTAAATTTAACGGCGCGATGAGAGTGCGAGCCGCTTTTGCGAGCAGCAGGGGGGAGGGGGAATAAACGAAAGCTCGAGTGGACAGGATTGACAAGCGCGCGACGTCTGAAAATCGCTGAAATCGATGGATCGCGCGAGCGTAGCGGAAATGCGCGTGGCGCGCATGTATAGCTCTTTGGCCTTGGCATGTATTTTTAGAGACGCGCGAGGAGACGCGTGGCCCACATCGGGCTCGTTCGAGTGCAAGGCACTCTGCGCTTCCGTTGTCATCGCCGACTACAACTGGCGTACACTGCTATTTGATTATGCAAAGGTTTTAGTTGCGCAAAGTCGCCACGACAGCGTTCCGCTATTATATATAGAGCGATGAGAAAAATCCACGTCGCGAGAGTGTGGTTTGGTTAAGCGCCTGGTAATCCACGACCGACTGACAGTTCAGATACGGGCGATTTATTGCATAATCCGATGACACTTTTAGTACACTTTTTTGTGGCAACTGAGCGTAGATGCCGAAAGCTTGAGGCGCACCGCGAGAGGGAAGAACGCGGAACGTAATGCGAGGGACGCATGCAGGGACACGGTAAGGAAAAGCGCGGCGAGGCTTAATGAAAGTAAAAGAGAGGCAGGGACTCATCGGAGAAGTACAGGATAAAAATGCCGGAAATTCGTTGAAATCTCGGCATTCCGCCGAATACCCAGAGCGTATGGCTCGAATATAATTGAGCCCGGGGCCAACACGGCCAATTTCGCTTGGCAATATGCGCGGGCCAGCGCGCAATATCGGCGTTTTAGCTCGGTTGCTAGCCGAAGAGAAAGGGCAAGAGCGAGACTCGCTTTAGCGCGAACGTGGATTTATGGAGATCGGGGCCAAGAGGCCGGCGCTCTCGCGCGCGAGCTCGGCTTTATTTCCGGAGGTTCGTTTTCGGCCGCTTCTCTCGGCTGCGCGCTCGGTTCGGCCGTGCTCCGATGCGCGTCGCCAAGCGCGCCGTTCCCGAGTCACTTCGCGTCATTCCCAACAAACTATTGCTTTCTGTTGCAGAGCGGAGCGGACCTGACGGTGCTCATGGATCTTCGCCCGGCAGTCGCGCGGTGCAGCTAAGGTAGCGTCGCACTTTCTTTTCCACCTCGACACCCCGTGAGCGTTCGCGCACGGCTGGCGGCTCCGCGACCCGGCCGGACACCGTTCGTTTCGGCGAAAACTCCAAAGCGTTCGTACCCTGCCGTTGGCTCCACGGCTGGCGCTGTCAAACTGAGCGAACGCTGCCGAGTAATCGCCGTCCGCTGTAGTGGCGCTTAGCCACTGCAAATCGAGCCTAATGATCGATGCTCTTTGTATATCATAGTAGTACATACTAATTCTGTGAACTACTCCAATAACGAATGCATGCCACCGTTAATGTCATCGTTAATGTAGCCAGCCGTATTTCTGATACGTGAAATACGACCAAGCAATTTCTGCACTGAATTGTTCGCTGCTCAACGTTCAGTGCTTGCGTTATTTTTATTTTTCCTACGTCACTCGCTCGCCGGATAAGGACGGGCGAGATTATATTGCAGCAATAAAGAAATCACTTGTGCTCTCGGTCCATTAACCCAGTGTGTCGGGCGTGTGAAAGCGCCGCTGTAAAACTCTTACCGTTGAAGATGCGCAATTCGCCAGAACAATAAACGCCAGCTGTACCTGGGAAAAGATCCGTAGAAAACGCGGGGGAGGGAGAAGAGTCAATTAGCGTGTGCATCGCGTGCTCCGTGCAAAAATAACGCCAGCTTTAGTGAAATCAACGCAATTCGATTTGATCTGCGGTGGTCGATCTCGAATAAAGAAATTCGCACGACGACAAACTGTCGCGGAAGCTGCAGCGCCAGGCGCAGCGATATCTCGGGCCGTTCGCAACGCGTAAAGTTCAGTAACAGACACGGCGACGGCGGCGAGAACGCAGCCATAACGTGGCGTGTAAAGAGCCGCGACGGCACGCGCACAGTCGTCGGATTAGTCGCGAGTGTCTCGCTGAGTTACCGCTTGGACAGCATTTAGCCCAAAGCAAAGGCAAGAAAAGGGGGAGGAACGGGGCCTCCCCTTTTTTTTTCGTCCCCACTGCTCTCTCCTTGTCAGACCGCTCGCGCTACACGGTAGTTCCCCGGTGTGTAGCTTCAGCTGATCCGACTAACTGGTTCTCTCTCGCTCCCTCCGTCGGTGCTGCCGATTCCTCGAGGCCATTACGACCCCTCCTGCGATCGAGATGGGGGAACTCCGCGCTCCTCGCCTAACTTCACTATTTTGATTAAAACTCGCTTCCGTACAGTGAGTATGGGTTTCGCGCGAGCACGCGAAATTAAGACTTATTTTACCCTGCCCTGCAGCTAGCGACTCAAATTGACTTTGGGGATTTTAGAGGCCAGCGTGAGAATAGGGGGGATTCCGCCATCCTTTGCCAAGGGGAACTTTCAACTTTTTCTAACTACACTTTTTGTAAGCCCTTTACTTTTCTCTTCCCACTAAGCAGTCTTCATTTTTCATCAGCTTTGCGCAGGCAGTATTTTACATTGAAATGCTTATTCGCTGCACGTCATTGGGCAGACCGGAGCCGCTTGCTCTTCTTAATTTTGAGAAAAGAGCCCGTACAACGAATCAACTATTTTGATCGGCCACTTGGACAAGAAAATCAAAATGCACCTGATAATTCAATTGAGGCTCCGGTAGAAAGTTGTCCAAATTACCACAAATAACGGCTGTGAAGCTTATGGAAATCGAACGTGAAACGAGAGCGTGTGCATCACACGCCAATAGCACCTACGCGCAGTCAAACGATCCAAGTTTGTCGGTCTCGTTCAGCCGCCAACAACAAAGAACGCTAATTGCAGGTAATTAGGTCGAATTAACGTTGGAGGGGCTCGGGCGCGCGCAAGAAGTCGCTCATCGCTGAAACGGATACCGCGCGCAAAAACCATGCCGCGCGCGAGTTATGACCGAACGACCAGGCGCAAAATCTACAGCAGTAGCTCGCTCGCCGCCGTCTGCTATTCAGTTATCATTAGTTTCTCCATATTTCTTGCATTCTTAACCGTCCGCTCCTGTGCTTCCGTTTTCTCTCGATTAAGCAGGTCTTTGCGTCAAGAGTATCGTGGCGCTACTACCAGCAACTCAAAGATGATACATTATTATTAACCAATTTTCGTTTGAATACAACGTTCACAGAACGTAGAGCATTTTTAATAAACGTTCATAAATCAAGTTATCAATTAATGTTTTTTCATCGCGGAGAGTTGTTAAACGAACATCTATAATTAACATGAGTTTGCATCAATGAATTGCCCGAAGGAATGTCTACATCGCGATCGCTATGACGACGTGCAAACATCTCATTCACAGCGACAATCCAGCGCATATTGGGATTGCGTCAATTTAACAAGCGTATGAAATCAAACGGAACGTAGTTCTCAAAGTTAGTCTGTTTTTTTTGTCTAACAAACGTGCATGTCGCGAGAAACTCGTTATACAGACCCGCCAAGCTTACAACGACATTGGCCATTTGCGTATCGGCCACATACTCGTGCGCGGTACGGTCTGGCTGGCTAACGAGCTGCGGAAACGTCGACGACGTATCGCCGCTCGTAAATCATGAGCACACCGTTAAATAAAGTAGAAAGAGAGTGAGAGAGAGAGAGAGAGAATCTGTTAGAGCCCATGCGAAACCACAAGCGAAGCGGGTCAGTGCAGCGGCAGCACGGAGCAGTGGACTTTTTTTGATTTGTGTAAAAAATTCGTAGAGGCAGTGCAGGCGGACGTAGAAAAGTCGTAGTACAGAAACACGCGTAGCCTAGCAGGTTGAGTGTCAGACTGTGACTCGTTGTCCGCTCCTTCGTCGGCGCTCGGCGACTTTCCCTTTGCCTGCTTATTTTTCCTAGTGCCCAGCAGACGCGAAGAGCGAGAGATAGCGCGTAATGAAATCGCAATTAAAGCGCTACCTCGCTTAGGCGCTTGTCCGAGCAGTTGACGGCTATACTTGTCGGCTCGTTCTCCCGGGAATAGAGTCGTAGTCGAGATTACAACGTCGAGAACGATTCGGAGCGCGGCAGAACGATCGAGCCGTCGCACGCACCGACGGCGGATTGCGAAATCGAGTGGCGCGCAAGCCTGATCAATGAGCCGCGCTGCGGAGCCAGTCACGATTCGCGTGCGTACAGTGCGCAGCAGCTTCTTTATCGCTGCCGCGCTTTATAGCTCGTGACTTGGAGTGCGCGCTCCCTCTCGCATGCGATAGCCGAGGCGCTTGTACACGAGCTCACGCAAATTGCCGAAGCGGATCCCGCTATCCTTCTGCTGAGATCATATCGCACGCGTCATTTCGCGGTGCACGGAAGCTGTGCACACCGAGAGCGTTTAGAAAGTAGCAATGCGCCGATCGTTGTCGGCCAATTTGCTAATAGATTCGTTTGCTTTGCGAAACCATAGTGAAAGTTGCATCGCCGCCGTACGTTCAATTATTTCATGCATGCGGATGCAGCGGCGATGTATACGTAATACCTGGCTGCTGCTGCTGCCGCTGCTGCTGCTGCTACTGCTGCTACTGCTGCTGATTCAGATATCAGGGCAGAGCGATCGCGGTGCTTCCGACGTAACTGTATAATAATACGTACGCGTGTAATTTCGAAAAGCACATCCGCGACGAGAGCGAAGAACAAAGCTGCGTTACGAAGCCCCCTGTCCCTTTCGACGCAGCCTCAACTAAATTGGCAGCAGTCTCTTCGAGACGCGATGACGAACGACCAGCCGCCTCTGTTGCGGCGCCGCGAGTGTGACGAGGCGTTCTGTTGTCTGGCGTCTCTGATCGAACACGCTGTCGTCGTCGACTCTCTTGCCGCTGAATCGGCCAAGTCAGTGCCCTCTTTTATACTTGAAATTTCATTGTCACGATTATGAAAAGCTTTCGCCTGGAAAGCTCAGTGTATTAGAGCGAATTCCCGGGGCGATATTCATAAAAGTAGCGACGGTGCGATCGCTTAACTTTCGCCGCGGATTGTTTATAACCTCGGCGAATCATCAATTCTTGTCGGAACGTGTAATAATTAAGAGAGAAAATTCCGTAGGCTTTAGTCCACTTGGGGCGCGCGGCAGTTTTTATAGCGTACTCGTAAAAAGGGAGCGCGAGGAGCTCGTTGCGTCTGGAGCTCGAGAGTTTACGACGTAAGCATGCTGCTGCGAGAAAAGCTCCCGAATTTACTGGCTAATTATCCGTAGCGAGCGTCCCAATTCTCAGTCGCGAAGCGGCACGCTTAAAGCAGCTCCGGCCGAGAACTGGTTCGCCAGCCCGTAGGGATATCCCTGTATAGGCCCTTTTGCCCGCAGCCACGACCGTATGCGCCAACTCCTTTTCGCGGTTGCTTTCTCCTTCGCGCGTTTCTCCATTCTTTCGCCTGGATTGTTCTTTGCTTTTTTCGCATTTGCATCGATTGTTTTGCCTCGAAAGTGCAAACGAAAGCTATCCAATTAGCCGCGTGTGGGGGGGGGGGGGGAGACGCGTGAAAGGATCTGTGAAAGACGCCAATTGGGCACGGGAGTCGAACTCGATCGGGGAAAAATTATACGCGCAAGGCGATAGTGCAGCAAGCGCGCGCCTGTCGCGGAATTGGTATTCTCTTTCAATGCAGGACCACCGTCGGCTGGAAACACGAGCTCGCCGCAAGATATGGGAACAGCGCGTCCTCCATTATGTCGCTTTCGTGTGCTGGCGTACAACTACTCTCATCCGTTCGGTCGCGCGCATTTTCCAAACTCCGTTAACGAGCCGTAACCCTCCGACGTCAGCTTTCAGTGTTCCTCGAGCTTTCTTGCTCCCTGATATCGTGCAATTTAGCTACGGTTACGAAATGCTATACCGATACAGTATTCAATTTTCTGCGATAACGAGTATAATATGCCATAACGATGCCATTTAACATTGATCCATTGTCAGAGAAGCACCGAGACAATTAACATTTCATTTCAATGCAACTTTTATTGGAATGCCCGTGTAACAACCATCGAATCCATAAAATTATTCATTAAATTATGCTCGTCACTCGACAGCAATCGAACGCAATCGAACCTTCTCGCCGTTTG